GCCATTTAAAATGTATTCAATGTAATATCTTGGAGTTATTCGTGGTTCCCAGTGGATGAATCAGTGTGGCTTTTAATTTCACATATGTGTACTGGCTCTTTTTTTTTTTTTTTAAAGAAAAATTTTAAGATTTTGAGATTGGAAGCTTAATCCCAAACTTTAGAAACAGCAACCAAGGAAAGAGTTTCCCACTTGGAAATGCACTGTGGAGTTTATCCATTTACTCTAAATCAGTACGATGATGATGCACCCTTCAATCTATATTGAGGATGCACTTGAATAAAATGTATCACATTAGAGGTGGAGGACATTTAGTAACATCCCACAGATCATTCCATGTTTGTGCCCTCGTGCATAATCGAGCTCTTCTGCACGTGTTTAGCTAAAAGCAGCCTCTGGAGCTCAAGTGTCCTTGTGTTCCTCAGTGAATGAATGCACCAGCATTAGAATGACCCTGCAGTCATCAGATATTAATTAAGCCACGTTACCTTTCACCTCTCATCACAGGGTGCATGCCAGTTTTTTCTGCACCACTCAGCCTTAAATATGAAATAAGAGCTTGCTGTTGGTCTCAAACCAATGCCTAAGGGGTTTGAGACCAACAACAACAACAACACATCCGTCCTGCCATCCTCACTTTTCCCTTGAGTAGAGCTCAGTGACACAGTCTTGTAACGGGAAACAGATTTCCAGTTCTGTTTACACTGAGTGTGCAGAGGCTTCAGCTGCTGTTGCAAACTTGCCCGCAGGACTCAAATAAAGAAAACACTCAGATGACTTTCTTTAAAGCTCCCTCCTCCACATATGAAGTATGTGGTAACTGCTGATTTGACTTGTATTGTTTTCCTTGCCTAATCAAAGACGAGTTGCTTTCTTCAATCAGTGCTCCTCTGTGTCCTCTGTCTATCTGTCTGACAACAGCAGAGTTTACCCAACAGTAGCGGTCTTATCGAGCACAAGGACAAAAATAGACTCCATGTGAACTCAGTGGACTGTGTTTACCAGTAATTCACCAGAGGAGGCAGACTGATTAAAACTGTTACAGAGTTGCCCTGCACCATGCAGGGGGTTCAGTTTGGGTCTATTTCTGGTACTTGTTTACCCTGTATTGGGTTGTTTACTTGACCTTTGAATGAGTTTCCTGGCTTTTTTGATCAGAAGCTCAGCTCTGAGAGGGGATGGGTGGCTGTAAAAGCTCAGTATTCCAAGAACAATATCAGAAATAAGCTCTGAAAAAGCAAGCAAGTGTTCATTTCAGATCTCACCTCTAGAAATGTCTAGAAAACTGTGTCAACAGGACCTTAGCCTTGTTAGACTTATGTTGCGAAATGGAAATACTGGGGGGAAAAAGTACATAAAATTCTGTCTGCTCTTATTTCCAACCAGAAAACAGCTCCAGCTTCAACTTCTCCAACACATCCACCCCTGCAGCCAAAGGTGCAGAAGAAGAGTACTTGGAAATGAACAACTGGCCCATCTGCAAAGACCAGGATGAGATGCTGAACCTGGCTTTTACTGTGGGTTCCTTCTTGCTGTCAGCCATAACTCTGCCCCTGGGTATTATCATGGATAAATACGGGCCGCGGAAGCTGCGACTGTTGGGGAGGTGAGCCCGTGAATCCTGCTGTCTGTTGGATAGTGATGGTTCTTTTCTTGTCCAACCTATTTTTCATAGCCAACTGCTTTGTCTTTCCAGTGCCTGCTTTGCCTTCTCCTGTCTTCTCATCGCCTATGGTGCCAGCGACCCCAACAGTACGTACCTCTACCTGTGTCACATACATCTCATTACATTATCACGGCTCATCTGATGTATTAATGCTAATCAATCAGATACAGTATGTGAGATTTGTCATGTGTCAGCCTAGTAACATCTGCGTGTGTTGCTTTCTCCGGTAGATCTGTCCATCCTGATCTTCTTCGCATTGGCGTTGAATGGGTTTGGAGGCATGTGCATGACCTTCACTTCACTGACGGTAAGAGATGCTTTACGAAGCTCACATATTGGGACATACTTAGCTTTGGTCTGAAGCGCTGCTTCATTCCTACTTCTCCACAAGTCTTGTTTTTTACTGGGCGGTGACTCTCATGATTGGGACATAAAACTGCATGTATAGAATCAGCAATCAAACAACAACAACAACAACAAATTACTTCCTTTTGCCCCAAATTAGGTTTTTGGGACCCTTTTTCCACTGGACCTTTAGCTTTCACTTCATTGCTGGGGAATTCTTCCTTGGTATGGTTTCAGCATTTGTTCACTGTTGAGTTTCTCTCTTATTTGATTTGGTAGTTGCCTGCCGAGGCTGTAATCTGTGCAGGCCACTGTGTGGTTATAATATATTCTGTGAATGAAATGTTATGATTTGAACAGTGCATAGAGTTTGAAACATGAAACCTTCGATCATGTTATCAGGATAACCTTCATAACTCATCGAGGCACGCTGAAGAATCCCTTCACCCTGCAAAATGTCTCATAGCTCTACAAATAAAGTGTTGTGGAACACCTCAGTGCTTTTCATTTATTAGCACAACAACCTCATTTTTCAAGGAAAGGTTGTGCTGCCAGCTTCTCCGCAATCCGACACTAAAATCTCCACTTTGTTGGCAATTACATGTAGTTTGTTTCCTCTCTGAATGACAGCCTGTACTAAATATCAGCGAGCCACAACATTGTGATATCTGGAGAAATGAAAAGGTATTAAAAGGGGAGATGGAGGAAGAGAGTGAAGTGATGGCTTCAGACGTGCATACAAAGAAGTGAGGGGCAGAAAGATGGATGCATTCGACAGAGGAAACATTTAAAAAAAGATGGCTGAAGAAAGAGCTGGAGAGAGACGGCTGACAACAGACTGCTTGGAGGAGAGGGATAAGAGGTGGTGTGGAGATAGGAGAAGGATGGTGAGGGATGCAGTGACTGAGGATAGCCAGTGGTCAGGATGACCTCATCAGAGAAAGTGCTGCATCACAGGAGAGGACACGTGAGCAAGAGAGTTGTTACAAGGCAGAGATCAGTGATCTATTATTCACTCCTGCTCTGGCTACGAGCCAAATAAAGATCTCTCCTCATTATTATTTCATCCACACAAGGACGTGTGTGTGTGTGTGTGTGTGTGTGTGCACGCGCGTGTATCACTTTGTTGTTTCATGGTAGCTACAGTATTTCTCTTCCTGCCATGAACAGCCGAGGTGGACTCTCTCAGAAAGGGCTCAAACAGGAAGTAGCAACAGGAGGGTAGTGTGTGTGTGTGTGTGTGTCCTCTCCACACATGCTTTTCCATTTCCTTTCCAGGCTGTGTATTAGGACCCTGACGGATACATGCACTAGCTGTTCAGCTGGTTTTATCTTGCTGCACCCCTCCCTCCACACCCCACACACACACTAGTCTGAGCCCGGCTGTTTTCGTCTTCTCCTGTTTCAGTTGTAGCTGCTCTCACACGACCATCGAAACTCTGTGTGTGTGTGTGTGTGTGTGTTATTTTAGCTGAGTTACCGCTCCCTGCAGGTCCAGACAAACATTTCAGTT